ACCCTTCCGCTGGCGGTTCCGCTGTTTTTTTCGTCGCAGGTCGATCCTCTGGGGGAAGAAGGCTTCGAGGAGCTTTGCGGTTGAGGAAGAGGGCCCCTGGGCCGACGAGCCCTCGTTTAAACCAGCCTCTAGAGTTTCAGAGTCTCTCAGTAGTCCCCCTTCTGGCGCGACCAGAGCGTCTTGGATTCCCTCGGCGACGCCAGGAGGGGGCGCAGAAATTCGGAGTGATGAGAATGGTTCGCCCCCCCCCCAGCCGAGCGTCCACGGAACGACGGTCCCCTGGAGGGGGTCAACGATCATCTCACCCCTGCTGGTGCTGCTGCTACTCCTGCCCCTCTCCCGTCTTTCGCTATTCCCTCCTCCTCCTCGTGGGTAGACGCTTTGGCTCAAGTCCCCTGGACTGCACGCTCTATTCACGAAGTTTGGCCACCTATTAGTCAATCGCTTGCCTTTCAGTCTGGCGCGCGGCATGTGATTCCCATCAGTGGGGCTTTCTCGCGGTGGATTGCGGCTACAGGGTTGACCATCGCAGCTCATCATGATGTCGCAGCGCCAGATCGGTCACGGGCAGTCGGCTGCGAGTTACGAGTCCTTTCTGTCAAACAAGCCGAGCACGTTCGGCAAGAGCCGCTTCGTGACGGTATTTTTACGTGGTGGTCCAGGATTCACAATATTGTTCAGCGTGTACTCCGGCATCGCAGGCGCAGCAATGACACTGTGCAGCTGGGTTATCTATCATCTGCTGCCGTTCGGCTCGCCGATCAGCCCGTCGACGGAGCAGGCGCTGCACATCCTGCGCACTTCGGCTCGTGGCAGGGTCTTTTGCAGGACCTCAGGCGCGCCCTCGAGCTCAACATCGACGAGCTGGGCGCGCTGGAGGAAAAAACTTTCAGAGCTTCGAGGCGCGCGCAGAATCGGGCTGCGGCATTGTCCTTGAAAGACTTCCAGCACTGGTTCAGCAGTCTTGACTCACAGGGGCAAGTCTTTAGATCGCTGAAGGGCCCAGACCCAGAACGAGATGAACTCCACGACCTCGACGGTTCGGTTCGAGTGCATCCCAAGGACATTGTTGACCGTAAGGTCGTTCGCTATCATGAGTCATGGCATTCGGAGGTCACATCGTGAGATGGGGTTCTAGCCACGATGACGACTATCAGGAGCAGGGCCGAGGTGGAGCAGCTCGTGCCCTTGGAGGTTCCTGATGTTCGGGCAGCGCTCTCTCGCATGAAGGCGCGAGCGGGCCTGGGCATCGACAGGCTCTCTCCGACCGACATGGAGAGATTGCCTGACGAGGGCGTCCAGTGCCTCTGCGACCTCTTCCGCATGATCGAGGAGGGCCTCTCCTGGCCTTGGCAGGTCATGTGCGTGGTCGGCAAGCTGCTCGGCAAGAAGTCGGGCGGCGACCGCGTGATCGGCCTGATCGCCATGATGTGCCGAGTCTGGTCCATGGCCAGGGAGGCGCAGATGAAGGGGTGGTCAGCCATCCAGGCTGAGACAGACCACTGGGACGCAGCCATCGCGGGCAACAGCGCCTTGCGGGAGGCGTTCGTTCGAGCGCTGCAGGACGAGGTTCACTCTCGCTTGGACATCCCGCATGGCCAGACAGTGGTAGATATTGCTTCTTTCTGCGATTCCATAGAATGGGAGCCTTGGGCGCTGCGCGCCATGCACAAAAGGATTTCCAGTCATTTTGCACCTGGAGATCCAGATTTGCCTAGCGCCTCGGATGTTGGAGCAGATCGACTCCTTCAATGAACCTTTCCAGGTGACGCGCTCGGTGGTGCAAGGGCTGAGGAACGGCACTCGGTTTGCCAAGTGCCTCGCAGCCTACGTGTGCCAGCGCCTATGCCAGGCGCATGTATCTTTGAGTGAGCGCATCTGGACCGACGATTTATCCCAACGAGTGATGGGCTCGAGGCAGCATGCGAGGACGACGCTCATCACGGGCGCGCTGTCGACGACCAGGCTTTTTTTCCAAGCTGCAGTTGTCCATCGCAGACAAGAGCGTTGTGTTATGTTCTCACCGCAGTGACGCTCAGGTGGTCGAGCGCGTCCCCAGGAAGAAGGGCGTCACGCTCCGCGCCGCGCTGATGACGGCCTACCCCGGGGTGGACTTTTCCTGCGGCAAGCGGCAGGGGCGAGCGACGGTCAGGCAGAGGGCGTTCAAGTCCAGCAAGGCGCACGGGCGGCTGCGGAGGTTCGCCCAGGCTGCCAAGCGCTGGGCGGTGTCAGCCAAGCTCCAGCGCGCGGGGCCGCAGGCGGCATCCGTCTACGGGCGTCGCGTGCACGGGCAGTTCGGTTCGGTGCTGCAGACCCAGCGCCGCAGGCTCGGCGCCGCCGCGGGATCGGCCAAGAGGGGTCGGTGCCTCACGACGCTGATGGCGCTTCGACTTCCAGGGGGTGACCCTGGAGTGCAGCTCCCGCGGCAGTGTCTACCCCAATGGCTGAGTGTGTGGTTGACTGGATGGCCCTCAGATTCGATCAGCGATTGTTCGGGCTTGGAACCGAGCCGTCGCCCACCTTTCCAGTCTCCCAGATGGCCAACGAATGCGTCACATTCGAGGGCCCATGGCGACAATGATTATGCATCTGCTGGAAGCCGACCTCACCGACAGAATGGGGTGCCTCATGGCGGTTCTTCGATGTCACACTCTTGGCAGTTTCACGGGAGTGACTTTGAGGCGCTGGATCAAGCAGGTCCTCTTCTTGATGAGTTTCAGCGAACACGAGAGCTTCAGCAGTGGCGAATAGCAGCTACGCAGTTCTGCGGCGAGGGCGTCGCCGACGGCGTAGACCTGGCCTCGCTGCAGGCCATGATCCACGACCTGCAGGACGCCAGGAAGGGCAGGCAACTTTCGGAGCTGCTCGTCTCGATCGCGACGGGCGGTTTCTGGACACGTAAACGGAGCTTTCAGGCTAACTTGTGCAGCTCATCGGACTGCCTTCGTTGCGGGAAAAGGGCCAGAGACTCCTTTGCATAGATGTTGGACGTGTGAGGCTAACGCCAGTTCCGTGTCCAAAGCGTATGCTGATTCCAATGACCTTCTCACCCAGGCTGCTTCTGAGACGGACGCGTTTCCGTGCTTTTGGATGCGGGGCCTCACCCCCTCGTCTTGGATTTTTGTTCCTCCTCCTCCTTCCGAAGAGACCATTCTCGGGGGCAACTGGCTCGGAGGCTCTTTGGAGGAGGGCTGTCTAGGCGCGGGCTCGTCACTGGAGCCTTTGGTCCTTTTTGGGGACGCCTCGGGGGGCAAAGATACCCACGACTCTAGGCTACGTAAGGTACGGCTGGCCGTTGCTAGTGTCGCTTGCTGCGTTCCACCTGCTTTGGGGCCTTTTTATCATGGGGCCGCTCTCTGGGGCCTCCCAGAGTGTTCCGAGAGGCGAGCTCCTAGCTTTCCTTTGGGCCCTCCGCTATTCGGTCGGAGTGCTAGTGTATGTAACTGATTGTGCTGGGGTGGCGAGGGGGTGGTACTCCGAGCTTTTCCGCAGACCCGAGGGGCCACAGGCCGATCTCTGGAGAGGTTGGCAAGCTCCTTCAGCGGCAAGCTCGGCATCCGACTAGTATAATAATCATGCAAGTCTCCTCGCATCCCAGTCCGCGGGAGTACCTCTCTCGTGGAATTCCGAGTTGGCTCGTGATAGGCAATGCTTGTGTTGACGTCCTTGCTGGCGAATCAGCCACGCACGCGCGGGTTCCCCAGGCCAGTCGTTCTCGAGTTATGTCCATCGAACCTAAGGCCATGCTTGTTCGGAGAAGGCTATTGCGGGTTGGCCTTGATTCGATTCGGGCTTCTCAAATGTCAGGAGAAGTTGGCGCCCCAGCGCGCGCTGGTCCACCTCCTCCTCCTGCTCCTCCGCCTCCTCCTATTGCTATCGCACGCTTCGCGTCAGCCCACTCCCTGACCGAAGGTGGTAGGGCGTGCAGTGTGTGTAGAGGGTCTGCAACCAAGGCTTCGTTGTCGGGATGGTTAAAAAGTGAGTGCTTCCAACTCCACCATGTGAATAGCCAGATTGCCCGTGTTCCGAGAGGACGGCGTTTACACTTGGCTGGGGGTTGGACCCATCCCACTCATGCCTTGATTTATCAGAAAGACCTTCAATTGTGGTATTGCGGCACATGCGGTTTCTACGGTCAAGCCCAGCTCAGGGGGCTAGCGGAGCCGTGCAAATTGCCCATCTCGAAGGCCAGGCGCGAATATCTCGATCGGATTGAACGCGGCCGGCCTCCAACGTGCTGAGCTTTAAGCCTTGTTTTCACTACGTGAAGGCGGAAATCCTGGAAATCCTCCTCCTCCTCTTTTTTCTCCTCCTCCTCCTCCTCCTCCTGGAGGGCGAATGTTCGATGGCCCTGCGGGGCCCGGAGCGGCCCCAGAGGGTCGGGGGACCGACGAAGAGCGGGGCCCGCAGGAATGGGGGGGCAGCGCATCACTGGCCGAGGCCCGTGCGCGGGCGATGGGGGGCCTGTTCCTCCTCGCTCTCCTCCTGAAGACGTCCCCTTGCTCCTCCTCCTCGTCGTCCTCCTCCTCCTCCTCCTCCTCCTCCTTCGCTTTCAAGACGTCCTCCTCCTCTGGCGAGGAGGGGCACTTTTTGAGATCAGGGCCATGAGATCTTCGCGGGCGCAGCCATGAGATCCACACACGAATTCACACACATACACACACAAACACAAGCACACACACGCCCTAACCCTCGCCGCCCCCGAGACCGGCTACGCGCAAGAATCACCCTAGGCAAGAGTGACCTTCGGCGCGCGGCCTCGGGAGCACCGGGAAAGCCAAATCCAAAGTGCGTGCGCAAACGCCAGGGTTACGCCCGTGGGCCCGAACCAGAGGTCCATCCGGCGAAGGGTCACCCCTACGCGTAGCCGACGAGAAGCCGCGACGAAGGCCAAACGCCGAGACCGAACGGCAACACACATCGTCGGCTGCCTGGAGCGCGTGGGGAGAGGGGTGGAAGAGACACCCCGCCCTGGGTAGCGGGGACGGCGGCGGGCTGTCCAGGACCGCGACGGAGTCGCCCGGCTGCAACTGGCATCGCGAGGCGCCGTCCCCACCAGCGGCGACACCGTCGTCGTCGTGGCCGCCATCGCGGCCGGCGTGGCCGTTGTGGTCGTGGTGGACGTGGTGCCCATCGTGGTCGTGGTCGCCGTCGTCGTCGTCGTCGTCGTGGTCCTCGTCGGCGACGTGGACGTCGTCGTCGTCGTCGTCGTCGTCGTCGTCGTCGAGGTCACCGCGTCGTCGTGGCGGTCATCGTGGCCGTCGGCGTGCCCGCCGTGGTCGTCGTCGGCCGTCGCAGGCAGAGTTGGGGAGGAGGGGGGGGCCGAGGGACGAGGGGGAGGGGGGAGCTCCAGCAATTCTGCGGACGACGTGGAATCCAAGAGGCGAGGAGTAGGATTGGAAGGACGACACAAGATCGACGGGCTTCAGAGCGAGAAGTAGGATCGGATGTGATCTTGCATCGAATCGGGCCGTACGGGCGTGGAGCCGAAACCGAACCGAGTCGGCCGCGCCAGGCTGCACAGCAACGCCGTGTCAGGCCACATCAGATCTTCGGACTATACGTATAGGGCATCGAGTCTGATAGGGCCTGCCGAACGAGGACGAGGATGGAGGAATGGGGGAGAGGAAGGAAGGAGGCACAGCAGGACGCCGAAGAGGGTGCGCAAAAGTAGGCAAACGGATGAGGAGGTGCAAGGATCCTCCCCACCGCTGTCCTCCTCTCCCTCAAACAAAAAACCCTGGACATATCCAGAGGCGCATCTCGACCAGCGGACCTCGAAGGGAATCTGGCTCTCGCGACGAGACGTCGCCCCAGAGGCCCTCAGAGGGCACGATCGCCTGGGAACCTTGGTCCTCGATCGCCCCGGGAAGATGACGGATGAGGACCACGACGCGGCTGGCCACGGGGCGGGCGATGGAGGGGGGAGGAGGGACTGAGGGGGGGGGAGGAAGAGGGAGCGGGGGGGAGGAGGGAGGGGGAGGAGGAGGAGGACGAGGAGGAGGAGGAGGTGGAGTCGGCGGGGTGGCGGGGATAGGCAGACGGAGGCGAACGGCCGAGCATGATGCCCACGGTGCGGGGGATGATGGCCACGGCATTGGGCGATAACACTCGGCCGCACGCAGGCCAGGATGAGAAGCCGGAGGAGCAAGACCCTCCTAAATCGGTTCGTACCGATTCGGTCCCTTCCTCCCTCACAGCCTGGCTGGCGCACACTCTTAGCCCTCGCGGGCCCACCGCCTTCTGCTTCACATTGTGCGCCTGTCCTTTTTTTCTGCTGCGCCAGCCGGGACTAATTTGCTGTTGCGGGACTGAGTGCCCTTCTACTTGTTCACACACGTACGCTTCAAGCTCAATTCCATAGTTTGTGCAACGTCGAATCATGAGGAGGACCAATGTAAATCCATGACGCATGAACGATGTTGCAAGAAACCTTAACCGCCAAACGCCGGTCCATAGGGACACCACAAGACTTAAACTCATGGCAAGAAGCGCCAAATAACACCTGGGACATCAACACCGCGAATCACAATGACTTGTGCGTCATGACGAAACTGAACCGTGCCAGAACACCAGTACTTGCATTTCAACAATGCAGATCAACGTGACTGTTGCGCCCAGACATTCCTTAATCGTGCAAGAACACCTCTCCTGGGACTTTAACCCTACGAACCCCTGAGACTGCCATAAACTTTTGAGACGACTGCGTGCGACACTCAGGCTCGGATCGCATGTTGAAAACGAACCGTCCTGCATCCTCGAAATTGTCAGGCGATAGCCACATTTTGAAAACGGCCTGCCATTCATCTTCGAAACTGTCGCAAACTTTACAACGAATGCATGTGACACTCAAGCGCGAATCAGATGTTGAAAAGGAACCGTCCTGCATCCGCGAAGCTGCTGCAAACTTCTACAACAAATGTACTCGACGCTACGGCGAGAACCAGATTTTGAAAACCACCCGCCCTCCATCCTTCAAACTGGTGCAAACTTGTAAGACGAATATGCACGGCGCTCGGGCGATAGCCACATTCTGAAGACGGCCTGCCGTCCATCCCCGACGCTGTCACAAACCTTCAAGGAACATGCGCGCGGTGCTAAAACTAGAAACACAATTTCAAAGCCACCCGCTTGTCATCTCTGGAACTGTTGCTAGCTCCAAGCAATCATCTTGAATCATGAGCGCTGGATCATAAGCGGTGCTTCAAACCACCGCTTGCCATTTTTGGATCATACGCGGTGAAGAACTATCGGGCAATACGGCAAGCCATCCCTAGCAACACGTCTGGGGCTCCGGCAGGGCAGCTACTTTCATGGAGGACGGAGGCAGACGACCAGCGCGTCATCGAGAGGGACCTTCGAGCAGCTGCCCCTGGAGCGCCTGCCCGTGGACACGAGATCCGCTCCAGGCGGCCCGGCCCAGGAACTCGCGATGCGGCTGCAAGCTGACGAGGGTTTTCGGGGAGGGTCCTGGAAGCCGCTTGACGGGGAGACCCGTGGGAAAAAGACGGGCAGGAACAGCGGACAGAAGAAGGGAACGGAAGGACACCGCGCTAACGACGGGGGGACCGACCGGCCTGCAGCTGCGAAGCGTCGCTGGAGCCATCGAAGCGGGTCAGCACCTTCATTACCTTCCCCGTCTCGGCCTCGACGCAGCGGCGGAGCCATCGCCGACGTCGTCGTCCGTCGTCCGTTGCCGCCGCCGACGCCGTAATGGTCCATCGTCGTCGTTGTCGACGTCGTCGTCGTTGATGATCGTCGTCGTCATCGTAGTGGTCGTCGCCGTCGTCATCGTTCGTCGTCGTCGTCGACGTTTACAGTCGTCGTGTTCGTCGTCGTGGTCGCGGTCGTCGTCGTCGTAGTGGTCTTCGTCGCTCGTAGTCGTAGTTGTCGTAGTCGTGCGAAGTCGCCGTCATCGTTGTCGTCCGTCGTCCGCAGTCGTCGTCGTCGGCCGTCGTCGTCGTCGTCGCCGTGGTCGTCGTCGTTCGTTGTTGTCGTCGCTGTCGTCGTCGTCGTCGTCATCGTCGTTCGTAGTCGCCGCCGTCGTCGTCGTCGTCGTCGTCGGTCGTCGTCGCCCTCGTCCTCGTCCATCGTCGTCGTGGTCGTTTGTGGTCGTCGTCGTGGTCGTTTGTCGAAGTCGACTTCGTTCGTCGGTCGTCTTCGCGGGCATCGCCGCGCCGTCGTCGTCGTCGCCCGTCGTCGTTTGTAGTCGCCGTCGTCGTCGTCGTCTTCGGTCGTCGTCGTCGACGTCCGTCGCCGTTGTCGTCGTCTTCGGCGTCGTTGTCGTGTTTCGTCGTAGCCGTTTGTCGTCGTCGTCCGTCGTCGTAGTCGTCTTCGTCGTCGTCGTCGTCCGTCGTCGTCGTCGTCGTCGTCGTCTGGCGTCGGCGTCGTCGTCGTTCGTCGTCGTCATCGTCCTTCGTAGTCGTCGTCGTCATTCGCCATCGTTCGTCATCGTCGTCGTCGTTCGTCGCCGTCGTCGTCCGTCGTCGTGTGTAATCATCGTCGCAGTCGTCGTTTATGGTAGTCGTCGTCGTCGTCGTTTGTGGCAGTCGTCGTCCGTCGTCGGCGTCGTCATCGTCAGTCGCCGTCAGTCGTTGTCGTCTTCGTCGTCGTCGTCGTCGTCGTTGGTAATCGTCGTCGTCGTCCTCGTCGTCGTCGTCGTCGACAGTCGTCCGTCGTCGTCGTCCGTCGTCGTCGTTCGTCGTCGTTCGTCGTCGCCGTCGTCCGTCGTCTGTCGTCGACGTCGCCCATCGTCCGTCGTCGTCGTCGTCGTCGTCGTCGTCGTCGTTCGTCGCTCGTCATTCGTCGTTCGTCGTTCGTCGTCGTCGCTGTCGGCGTCGTTGTCGTCGTCGTCGTAGTCGTCGTCGTCGGCGTCGTCATCGAAGTCGTCGTCGTCGGTCGTCGTTCATCCTCGTCGCCGGCGTCGTGCGTCGTCGTAGTCGTCGTCGTTGTCGTTTGTAGTCGTCGTCGTCGCCGTCGTCGGCCGTCGTTCGTCGTCGTCGTCGTCGCCGTTGTCGTTTGTAGTCGTCGTCGTCGTCGTCATCGTCGTCGTCGTTGTCGTCTTTCGTCGTCGTCGTACTCGTCGTTTGCAATCGTCGTCGATGTCGTCCGCCGTCGTCGTTGTCGATCTCGTCGCGGTCGTCGTTCGTCTTCGTTTGTCGTTCGTCATCGTCGTCGTCGTCGTTTGTAGTCGTTGCCATTTGTCGTCGTAGTCGTCGTCGTCGTTTGTAGTCGAAGTCGTCGTCGTTGTCCTGTGTAGTCATCGTCGTCGTCGTCGTGGTCACTCGTCGTCGTCGTCGTCGTCGTCGAAAGCTGCGTCGTTCGTCGTCGTCCGTCATCGTTGTCGTCGTTATCGTTCGTTGTCGTTCTCGTCGTCATCGTCCGTCGTCGTCCGTCGTCGTCGTCGCTCGTCGTCGAGGCTAGTCGTCGTCGTCTTCGTCCGTCGTTCGTCGTCGTTCGTCGTCGTCGATGTTGTCATCGTCGAGGTTCGTCGTCATCCGTCGTCGTTTGTCGTCGTCGTCGTCGTCGTCCGTCGTGGTCGTCGTCCGTCGTTCGCCATTGGTCGTCGTCGTCATCGTCGGCGTTCTTCGTCGTTCGACGTCGTAGTCGTCGCAGTCGTCATAGTCGTCGTCCTTCGTCGATCATCGTCGTTCGTCATCGTCGTCGAGGTTCGTCATCGTGCGCCGTCGTCGTCGTCGTTTGTAGTCGTCGTCGCCGTCCGTCGTCGTCGTCGTTCGTTGTCGTCGTTGTCGTCGTCGTAGTCGTCGTTGTCGTCGTCGTAGTCGTCGTCGTCGTCGTCGCCGTCGCCGTCGCCGTCGCCGTCGTCGTCGTCGTCGTCGTCGTCGTCGTCCTCGTCGTCGTCGTCGTCGTCGAAGTCGTCGTCGTCGTCGTTGTCGTCGTCACTCGTCGCTCGTTGTCAAGATTAGTCGTTGTCGTCGACGTCGCTCGTCGTTTTCCGTCGTCGTCGTCGTTTGTAGTTGTCGTCGTCGTCGTCGTTGTCAGTCGTCGTCGTTGCTCGTCGTCGTCGTCATCGTGGTCGTCGTGACTCGTCGCTCGTCGTCATCGTCGTCCATCGTCGTCGTCGTCGTCGTCGTTCGTCGTCGTTCGTCGTTCCTCGCCGTCGTCGTCGTTCGTCGTCGTCGTTCGTCGTCGTCGAAGTCGTCGTTCGTCGTCGTCGTCGTCGTCAGTCGTTCGTCGTCGTCGTCGTCGGTCTTCGTCGTCGTTCGACGTCGTCGTCGTCCGTCGTTCGTCGCGTTCGTCGCCGTCGACGGCGAGGTTCGCCGTCGTTCGTCGCCGTCGTCGTCGTCGTTTGTAGTCGTCGTCGTCGTCGTAGTCGTTGTCGTCGCCGTCGTCGTCTTCGTCGTCGTCTTCGTTCGTCGTCGTCGTTCGTCGTTCGTCGTCGTCGTCGTTCGTCGTCGTCGTCGTCGTAGTCGTCGTCGTCGTCGCTCCTCGCACGTCGTCGAGGTTCGTCGCCGTCGTCGTCGTCGTCGTCGTCGTCGTCCGTCGTCGTTCGTCGTCGTCGTCGAGGTTCGTCGTCGTTCGTCGTCGTCGTCGTCGAAGTCGTCGTCCTCGTCGTTTGGTCGTCGCCGTTCGTCGTCACCGTCTTCGTCGTCGTCGAAGTTCGTCGTCGTTCATCGTCGCCGTCGTCGTTGTTTGTAGTCGTCGTCGTCGTCGTCGTCATCGTCGTTCGTCGTCGTTCGTCGTCGTCGTCGTCGTCGTTCGTCGTCGTCGCCGTCGTCGTCGCCGTCGTCGTCATCGTCGCTCGTCGTCGTCTATCGTAGTCGTCGTCGTCCGTCGCCGTCGTCCGGCAGTCGTCTTCGCGGGCGGCGGCGCGCCGCGGCCTCCTCTGCCGGGATTGTCGCGGGCGGGCCAATGTCGGCCACCCGCCGCTGCTGTGCCGCCTTTTGGGGGGGGGGTCGCCAGGCCTGAGCTGGATCGAGTCTACGAGAAGAGCGCCCCAGGAGGCCTGGCGACAGGGCTGCTGGAGGGCACCTCGGGGCCCGAGAGCCGCCAGGAGTCGGGGAATACAGCGAAAAAAACCAGGGATCTCCTCTTCCCCCTCCTCCCCCGCAATGCCCCACTCCGCTTCCAAACCCCCCCGCCCCTCCTCTCGAATCTACGAGAACGGCGCCCTTCAGATCCCGCTCCAGTGCGGTTCAATGCTTGACTTCGCGGCCCCGAGCATCTTATTGGGCCCGACGAACCGACAGCACCTCGAAGGACGCCAACGCTGTACGGCGCACACGCGCCGTCCGCGGCCCACGTCGGCCGCGGAATCGGCTCGGCATCGGGCCACTGGGCATCGCGGATCGGGCCCGGATGTACATGAACACCGCCCCTCGATCCGCGAGACCGGCCGCGTGACACAAACCTTCGCGCAATGCGCGCTCTCGGAACCACCGTGGATTCATGTGCGTGTGCGTCCTGCTTCCGCTCCTGAGTGGGGAGCCCGGCGACACGCCCCCGCGGGGAACGCCGTCGTGTCGGCCAGGACCCGCTGCACGCCCCCGCGGGGAACCCCTCCGCGTGCCACAGCCGAGGAGGCACCCCTCCACCCCGCCTCGCTGCCGCCGCGCGCGCCGACGGCCGGCCGGCCCGCGCTCCGCTGGAGGGCCCCCGCAGTCGCGGGGGGGGGGGCTTGCTTCCGGAGGCGGGGGGGGATCCTGGCGAGAGGGAGGAGCCGACCTGACCTCCTCCTCCTCCTCCTCCTCTTCTTCTTCTTATTATTATTCTTCTTCTTATTATTATTCGTCGTCTTCTTCTTCTTATTATTATTATTCTTATTCGTATTATTCGTCTTCGTCTTCTTCTTCTTATTATGATCCTTCTCCTTCTTCTTCTTTTTCTTGTTATTTTTCTTATTCTGCTGCTTCTTCTTCTGCTTATTCTGCTTCTTCTTCTGCTTATTCCTCCTCCTCCTCCACCTCCTCCTCCTCCTCCCCCTCCTCCATTTAAACGTTGCCCAGACTCTAAGCATGATGCTCGCAACGTGCGACCTCCTCTTCCTCCTCCGCCTCCTCCTCCTCACCTCCCGAGGCCCGGGTCCAGAAGCCCTCACGACACTGCCCTGGGGCCGGGCAAGGCAAGCAGAAAACGCAGCCAGGGCTCGAGAGCACCCTGGTTCCACCGCGACATGCGGGCTAGGCGGGCTGGGCCTGTGGGGTGGCGAGTGGGGGGAGGACAATAACGAGGGGGAGGACCCCCCCCTTCCAGATTATTGCACACAATGCCCTCCACGCCGTAGATCGATCTGGACCGAGGACTTGCCTGGACTGCTGAGAAACAAACGCTTCACTTGCAAGAACATTCAAAGGTCCTTGCGCTATCTTTCAAACCGCCTGAAGGCCAGGGCGAAGGGAGATGGATAGGATGGAGACTCGTTCCTCCTGCCTCTTCTTCCTCCTCCTCCTCATTCTACTTCTTCTCCTTCCCCTTCTGGGGGGAGAGGGATGATGGCTCTGTCCAGGACAATCCGAATGTAGACCGTCGCGTGTTCATATATGACTTCCTCCTCTAGGCCAAAGATGGGATCCCCACGAACCTCGTTAAGATCCTCACCTCAACCTCCTACGATATTAAACGAACTATCGAAAACGAACTCAGGTGCAACATCGACGAACACAAACCCGTCATCCTGGCTTCCTTCGTCCGTCGGGGATCGGGAACCTCTCTTTGGAACACTGGGCGAATCCGCAGACGATGTCGGCGTGTGGAAGACGCTCTTCCGTTGGTCGCCGTCGTCGTCGTCGTGTCGTCTACGTCGTCTCTTCGTCGTCTCTGTCATCGTCTCCGTCTCCGTCGTCTCAGCATCGTCTCCGTCAATCGTCGTCTCCGTCGTCCCCGTCTCCTTTCCCTGGGCCCTCCTCCTGAAGCGCGCTTGCCAGGCCGACATTGAGGCACGTCGTAGCTGAGTCGAAGGGCAGCCCCTTCCCTTTGATCCCTTCCCGCCGGGGGGGGGGTCCCGGGAAGTGACACACGGGGGGGGTCCCTGGGGGCGGTCATGGGGGGTGGGTCGCCCCCCAGATACGCATGCCCCCCTGGGCGGTTCCAGGGCCCAGGGAAGCCCCAAGACGCAGCAAGAGTGCCCCAAGAGGCCCCCAAGACAGTCCTCGAGGGCCCTGGATCGCCGAATTATCGGTCCAAGACGCCAAAGTAGCCTCTAGACTCTAGACGGCTCAAGAGGTGTTCAAACGCCCCAAGAGGCCTCCAAGAGTACTCCCAAGATGACCCCAAAGGGCAAAATTCAACGATGTTCCTTAAGTTTTGGAGAGTGTGGCGTTCTCGCCTTGTCGGCTTCCCGACGCTCCAAGACCGCCAAAGAGACCTCCAAGATCGCCCCAGAGGCCTCCAAGAGGTTCCCACAACGAACCAAGAGAGCCCCGAGACCGCCGCCAAGGCATCCAAGACAGCCCAAGAGGCCCCCAAGACGGCTACAAAATGAGATTTCGGGCCCTCGGCCTGGAAACCCCATGAGGCCCCCACGAGGCTCCCAAGAGGCCCCCAAGAGCCTCCCAAGATGCCCCAAACCTACCCCCAAGAGGCCCCCGAGACGTCGTCGTCGTCGTTCAGGATCGGCGGCACCGGCCAGAAGGCCTCTCCAGTATGCAGGGCCGCAGAGTATGAGGATCGACTCAGCAGCCAAGTAAGACATGGACTACACAGCCTGAGGTAGAGTTCGCAGCCGACGAAAACGTGCGGTCCTACGCCAGAGATGTTCAGGATGCGACAGAAGAAGTGCACTGCAGGCGCTCAAGAAGGCTGGACGGACACGCGCTAGCTCCACAGAACAAGCTTGGGCCAGGCAAATCACTACGGAGCTGAAGTTGCAAGCCAAACGCATTCAGGACTCATCCAGAGTCAGAACATCTACTTAAGAACCGTCGGGGAAATACGTCACATCAGTTCCAGAGCCATACATTTGCGCCTCTTTGGAGACCCCTCTTGGAAAACCGCGCTGGGGCCCGTGGTCTACTACATCCTGATACGGAGGTTCACCACGCAGGCTGGCCTTTTCAGTCTCCCCATCGTGGATTCCAAGGGAAAGAAGATCAGGAACGTCAGACGCCCCCCACCCAAGACATGGACATCCTGCACAGGCCCCCTATAGGGGCCACCATCCTCGGCCTCTGGGCTCGAGACCTCCGAGGGCCAAGCACTCCAATTCTGAGCATCGTTTATCTGATCCCTAGCCCCAGCGGCGTGGCCTGGGCCCCGCTGGCCGATTTACCCCTCTAGATGGGGATAGGCCGTTCCCTTCGGGTTTCGAGATGTGCATCCCCAACTGAGGTGGTAATTTGGTGGGGGTCTCGAAGGGGATGGGGATGGGGATGGGGGTCGGTTAAACGATACTGAAATTCACAGTCGTGCCGCCCGTTCTGCTCAAGCACCACCTCGAGGAGGCCTGGGAAGCAAACCTCGAGCAGACAGCCGCTGCCAGAATGGGACCAGCGTCGTCGTCGTCGACGTCGTCGCCGCCGCCGTCGTCGTCGTCGTCGTCGTCGTCGTCGTCGTCGTCGTCGTCGTTCGTAGTCGTCGTCGTCGTTGTCGTCGTCGTCGTCGTCGTCGTCGTCGTCGTCATCGTCGTTCGTCTCCCTTGCTCGAGCACCACCTCGAGGAGGCCTGGGCAGCAAGCCTCGAGCAGACGGCCGCCGCCGGGATGGGGACCGGCGGGCGAGAGACCAGGCGTCGCGTCAGCCCAGAGGGCACTCCACGGCGCCTCCCTGACCCAGTTTCAGAAGAGCTGCCTCTGATGGGCCTCTTCTCCACCACCACCACCATAAGTTGGAGGGGGAGGGGGTCCTCCTCCTCCTCCTCCTCTTCCTCCTCCTCCTCCACCTCCTCCTTCTCCTCTTCCTCCTCGTCCTCCTCCTCCTCCTCCTCCTCCTCTTCGTCCCCGTCCTCCTCGTCCTCATCATCCTTCCCCCCTTCAGCCTCGTGTCCTGCCTCACCGAATGCCTCTGGACCAACGCCAGACTAGCTGCTGCAGGATACACCACCGGCGCGGAAAATACACATGAAAACCAACAGGCGGCATGACGCATAGGTTCAGCTGTCCCCACATCCGTAACATCAGGGGTGGCTGACCCCCCCAGGACTGAGGAGTATCTAGAAGGGTACCCCTCGAAATCTCCCTAGCCCACGGTTTCAACTGTCAACCCCTTTCGTGCGTCAACCAACCGGAAGGTTCTGGCCTCGAATGGGAGTGTTGGTCCCGAACCGGAGAACCCATGGAGGTCGCCCTGTATGGCGAAGGTTTGGGTCGTGTTTCAAGCATGGCCCCCAGATGTTGCACCAGAGTGGCTGGTCAGTAGCTGTAATAGATCAGGGCGGAGAGTGCGCTGCCCACCTGTAGGGCAGACAGGCAAGCTTTTGTCGCACACGCCGCCCGCTGCTGAGCCCATGTTTGCCCCACTGTAAGATGCATTCACTCCCACCACCTGGGGGGCCATCGACAAGTATGCCTTGCCAAGATTCGGTAGAGAGAACATGTGCGCAGGGTTAGAGCTGCTCTCTGAAGGTAAAGGCTCGGGGGGTAGTACCCTTCCAGAGATCTGTGAAATCGTTTCGCACCAGAATTCAAGGACACATCCCTGGCCATGGGAAATGACATTGTAAACAGACTCCCTAAAACTGCTGCCGTCAAGCCTGGAGCCCCCCCCCCCCCCCCCCTCGGAATCTGAATTGCAGACGATTGTTCCCAGGATGGCACGTGTACCGTTCGTTGGTTAAAAAAGTTATGGCGCAAGGCCTGCCACTCTGGCCAACCATTATGCCAAAACCTGAAGAACAACCTTCGATGGGCCCACCTCCAAACCAGCCGTGAAGCCCGTGGTTGGCGCCGCCTTGCTCGCCCATCTGCTGCCTGCCTCCTCCCCTCCCCTTCCCTGGCGCTCCCCCTGGACGACCAACAGAGCAAGGACACCCACCAGTGGGTTGAAAACAAGGGCATTTGGAGGTGCGACCTGCGTCGTACGTGAGCCCGAACTGGGGCCAGCAATAGACAGAGCTGCCCAGGAATGGATGCCACGCTCTCGCAGATCGCCGAGGACAGACGAGAGCACATCAGTTATGGTCTCGACCAACCTGGTAGGGCACACTGCGTCGTCGTGTGCTGGCAGCGCGGTGCTTACAATGAATTCGTTGCCAGGGCCTTCCAAGCAGAGTACAGTCAACCAGTATAAAGATGCGCGATAAGGATGCAAGGGCCTTGGACGCCCATTTCGAAGCTTTTCGAGCGGGGCGCGGCCAGCGAAAGCGGCGAAGGATGGACCGAGGAGGCAAGGATGCAAGGGTACCCTTGGGAAGGTTGCCCATCCTTACTTTGCGGGTTGACTGTACCCTGGCCTCCCTCACAGCAACACTGAGGTAGCAACCCTGAACTGCCTCAAGACTTGACGCCATCCGAAGCACGGGATGCGCAGCAAGCCCCGCTTTGCCAGCCCCACCGCACGGGATGTGTGATCCAGAGGGGCACACGCGGGCGTCTGTGGTCTCGAGCTCAGCTTGAGGCGAGCAAGCACGGACAACATTCAGACAGACGCACTGGTCCTGAGGGGGGGGGGGTGAGAAGATGGGACAATCAATGGCGCCTAACTTCGCACTTCGCGCACCCCCCCAAGGAAGACGAAGAGGATGAGGAGTCGGAGCCGATTCGCGACGCGCGAATGACTTCGCGCTCTCGAGGGCGCCCTCGGCAATGGGGGGGGGACCGAGGCGTGCTCCCCACCACAGGGGGCGCCCGCCTGCTGCGCCGCCGCCTGCTGCGCCGCCGCCTGCTGCGCTGCCGCCTGCTGCGCTGCCGCCTGCTGCGCCGCCGCCTGCTGCGCCGCCGCCTGCGGGGGTGCGCCCAAGGGCCCCCGCGCGCGCCCGTCGCAGACCGACGCCGCCGACCTCGACGACGACGACGACGACGACGACGACAACGACGACGACGAGGACGACATCGACTTCGACCTCGACCTCGACCTCGACGGCGATGACGGCGACGGCGACGACGACCCCGACTATGACCTCGACGACGACGGCGATCTCGACGACGACGGCAACGACGACGGCATCCACAACGGCGGCGCGCCGCCTGCTTCTGCTGGGCGGCGGCCTGTGCGGCCTGTGCGGCCTGCGCTCGCTGCAACAGCATTGCCTGCCCGCGCGAGATGGGGGGGTCAGCGGGGGAGGGCGCACATCCTAGCGCGTCGCCTCCTTCTGCTCATCGTCTTCCCTGCTCCCGATCCTGCTTCGCCTGCCTGCTCATCCTGATTCCTCTCCTCTCCTTCTCACCCTTCCTCCTTCATCCCTCTCCCTCTTCCTCCTCCCTCCTCCTCGTCCTTACCGTTTCCTACTTCCTCCTTACTCCTTGTTCCTCATCCTTACGTCCTCCTCCCTCTCCTTCCTCCATTGTCATGCCTGTCTCCTTCCTCCACCTCCTCCCCCTCCCCCTCCTCCTCCTCCTCCTCCTCCTCCTCCTCCTCCTCCTCCTGTCCTCCTTCCTCATTCCTCCTCATCCTTACTCCTTCCACATCCTCATTCCGTCATTCTCGTTCCTCCTTCCTCGCTCGCCCCTCCTACCTCCTCCGCCCCCTCCTTCCTCCTCCTCTTCCTCCTGCTCATCATCATCCCTGCTTTTCCTCCCTCGTCCTTCCTCATCCTCCTCTTCATTTTCTGGGCCCGAGGTTGCAAGTTTGGTTTCAAGTTTGTCATCTCCGCCCGTGCCCTTTCGATCCCTCCCCCCCCCCATGACCCAGGCCGACAAACTTGGAGGCAATGCCGTCGCGACCTGTCGTTCGGCGACGTCCACGAGGTGGGGGGAAGGGAAAGCAGGAGGGAGGCGCAATCGTCAGCCCGTTTGGTGGGCACTGTTAGATTCAATATCAGATGCCAGGTGTTTTATTGCCAACCCTAACCCCCTGTACTTTCGGAATTAGATTTTGAGGCTCTGGGTGCGCCCGCTCAGCGGGCCTTCTGGATCGCCGGACTCAATGGAATCGGGCATTCCTCGGGCTGACACTGCCAGCGACAGACGAACCGAACTGAACCTCATTCATCTTCCTCCTCCTGATCATCCTTCTTCTCCTGCCAGGAGGAGGAAGGGGGAGGAGCAGGAGGAGGAAGCGGAGGAGGAGAGGGAGGAGGAGAACCAACGTAAACCCACGACTCATCAATGATGATGGAAGAACCCTTCCCTCCAAGCTCCCTCTTCGCAAACCCCTCAAACAATTCATTACCACTGGGGGAGAAACGCATGTGGGAGACAACCGTGTGAAAATCTTGACGCGCGCCAGATCACCATTCTCAAGACTTCAGCACGGAGAGCGGTTGAGGAGGACATGGGGGCGGGAACGAAGGACAAGAACAAGACGCGTGGGGGGGCTGAACCGTCAGCGCGGCAGCAGCAGCGGGAAGGTGGCAGGGGGCAGAAGCAGGTGGCAGGAGTGCAATGAGCGAGCGAGGCCTAGCTCATCCGCTTACTTCTCTGTTTCCTTCCTGACGACCCTGGAAGCCGAAACAAACCCAAACATAACACAAACAAACATCACTCCGCTGGGCCCCAAGTCAACAGGGATGGCGAGGTCTCCGGGTGGTCCGCGTAAGACGTCACTCCGCTGGACCCCCCAGCAACCCTCGAAAGAGGCGACCGTGTTGCAGATCGCATCCCCCCAAGGATGCCGCGGACGCCTGGTAGTCCGCGTAAGACCCACTGCACCGACCTTGCAGACGAGCTGCAACGGATTTTGGCGCGGATTCCTGTCAGCGCAAAATCCTGAATCGGCAAGCGGAAAACGAAATGAATTTCCCGTGGATCGTTTCCGACCTTCATCCCTGGCCAAACAAAACCCGCACGAAATTCACTTCGAAGTCTGGAACGACATTCTCCAGGACAATATGGGCCCATCCTATGGTTTCCGAACGAAATCCGCTCTGCGATGTTGGCGCCATGATAAGACGTCGCTCCGCTGCACCCCCCAGCAACCCACGAAAGTGGCGAACGATCCGCAGATCGAAGCCCCCCAAAGATGGCGAAGTCTCCTGTTGATCTGCGTAAGACGTCACTTCCCTGCAGCCCCCCAGCAACCCTCGAAAGTGGCGACCGTTCCGCAGATCGAAGGCCCCCAGGGATGGCGAGGTCGCCTGGTGGTCCGCGTAAGGCGTCACTCCGCTGCACCCCCCAGCAGCCCTCGGACGTAATGACAATTTGGCAGATCGCAGCCCCCCAAGGATGGCGAGGTCTCCGGGTGGTCCGCGTAAGACGTCGCTCCGCTACACCCCCAACAGCCCTCGAAAGTGGCGACTGTTTCGTAAATCGCAGCCCCCCAGGGATGCCGAGGTCGCCTGGTGGTCCGCGTAAAGCGTCACTTCTCCGCTGCACCACCCCCACAGCCCTCGAAGTGGCGACAGTTCCGCAGATCGCAGGCCCCCAAGGATGAGGAGGTCGCCTGGTGGTCCGCGTAAGGCGTCACTCCGCTGCACCCCCCAGCAACCCTCGGACGTGGCGACCGTTCCGCAGATTGCAGCCCCCCCGGATGGCGAGGTCTCCTGGTGATCCGCGTAAAAACGTCACTCCGCTGCCCCCCACCCAGCAACCCTCGAAAGTGGCGGCAATTTCGCATATCGCAGCCCCCCAGGGATGCCGAGGTCGCCTGGTGGTCCGCGTAAGACGTCGTCCGCTGCACCCCTCCAGCAGCCCTTCAAAATGGCGACGGTTTCGCACATCGCAACCCCCTAGGGATGGCCAGGCAGGAGGCAAGCTGGCACGCAGGAGGAAAAGAGGTGAGAAGTAGGAGCGAAGAGGATGGGAGGAGGGGGGCGGGAGGAGGAGAAGCCGCGCGCGCAACGCAAGAAGGCTGGGAAACAAACGCTCTCAACCCGTTAAACTCTTACGGAATTTTTGCAACGAGCTATAAAGAAAATCGCATTTTGAAAACCACCCGCCCTCACCCCCTCACGCTCTTGCAACTGTTTGAAACGAATGTGCACGAAACTAATGCAAAAATCACATGTTGAAAAACACCCGCCCTAAATCCGCGAAGCTCTTGCAATTCGTTGAAACGAATGTGCGCGGCGCTGAGGCGAAAATCACATCTTAAAAGCTTCAGGGTCACAAGTGGTGGGGAACCCTCATGCGAGACGCAAGGCCCGCCCTTTTCGACCGGCCTCGGAATGCGACAGGGAGGAGGTAGTTAGAAGGAAAAGAAATGGAGGAGGGGAGGGGAGGGGAGGAGGAGGAGGAGGAGGAGGAGGAAATTATTAGATCAGACGCGTTTATGGGTCCGCAACTCTCGACTTAACATGGAAAGGCATGGCGGCGGAGGCTGCCACAAGGCCGCGCTCGACGCGCGCCTGCAAACATGGAGCGTTCAAATCAAGCGGCTACGATTGAACCTACAAAATCAACCAAATCAAAGACTGCGCCGGTCGGGCGACCAAACAAATGCCACGAGCATCGAGCAGGGCCCGGGCCCTGACGGATCGAGATGCTGGGCCCCAGGGAAACGCGCACCGACGGATAAGGCGCGGCGAACCCAAGACAGGGAGAGACAACAGGCCCAGAGGCCGTAGACGATTCACGTGACCCCCAGGGGCCGAGGCAGGCGAGAAGAGCCAGAAGGCAGGAGGGAGGAAAGCGAGGGCGAAGGCACCAGCAGCGGAGGGGCCCCCAGGGTCGGCGGCGCGTGCGATCAAGGGCTCACCCCGCAGCGACAGCTGCGATATGAAAAAACAAAAAAAACGGCGCCGGGCCCAGCCGTGCACTAAGAGCCTGTGGGGGCCAACGTCACCGACCCGCGCGAACGCGATAATGCTCCACGGGCGGCGCAGCACAAGGCCCACGTCATTGACGAAGCAGAACACGTTGACGAAGCAGAAATCGAGCGAAACGAGGTTGGTCCAACATCAGCTCCACGACAGACCAGCGTCCAACGGAAGCGCCCAACGTGGCCGCGTGGAGCTGCAGCAAGCCTGCGATGACTGAACCCAGGCGATGCTAGGAATTCCCAAGGCGAACTGCAGCAAAACAGTGACGACCGACCCTAGACACGCCACCCTAGACAAGCTAGGGTTTAACCAAGTCGAGCTGCTGTGAGACAGTGGCGACCGAACCTAGCCAAGCTATGTTTTTTTCCAACAAAAAAGGGTCGCGTTCTGAATGATCTTTTCAATGCGCCTGGCGGCGCCGCGCCCAGGGCCCCGGGGGCCCCGACCTCGGCCAGCGCCCCTTGAAGCAAGCTGCGGACGAGCGCGGGCGAAGGCAGAGGCTGCTCGTCGGACCCGGGCGAGGGCTGGTCCATCGGCACCTCCCGCATCATGATGTGAACCTTGCGCTTCGACGGGTCGAAGCACTTCATCGCGCGGAACAAGCGGGGGATGTCGCGCAAATCGTCTGGCTGCAGCCCCGCCCAAACCTCGGCGCGCCGCGCCTTGAGCAACGAGCGTGCGCTCTGTCACAGCGCGACTCCGCGCTCGAGAAACTTGGCGAGACACCCATACAATCTATGAATGTGAAGAGGACCCAGCTGGTGGCCTTCTCCACGGGCTCGGACTTCGCGCGAATGCGTCGCCCCGCTCTCCTGGGCCGCGCCGATCTCTGGAGCGCCCGCGGCGGCGAAGTAGGCGCCCACCCCCGCCGCCCGCAGGTCCCGGACCGTCCGCGTGGTCAGGAGGAACTGCGCGGTCAGCGCATTGATGAGCCCGCCTGCTTCCGGTTGTAGCCCATGTCCTTCACCTTGCCGAGGTGCCTGCAAGGAGCCTGCACATCGCCCCCGCCGTGCTGCTGGCCGCCCGCGGTGGCGGGCTGCGCCCCGGCAGCCGACGACGCTGCGCCGCCCCCGCTGGACTTGATGGGAGGTTTGGCCTCGCCCGCGGGGGGGGCGCCGTCTGCCGCGGACTCGGCGGCCGCCCGCTTGGGCAGCTGCCACTTCAGCGTCGCCATCCCTCGGCGCGGCGCGCCCCGGCACGAAGTGGAGGTGCAGCTCGAAGATGTGCAACTGGAGCTGAGCCACATCGGCCAAGGAGTCGAGCTTGCAAACGGGGCACTCGAGCTCGGGGGACACGACGGAGCGGACGGCGCGGGCCGGCTCGGCGGCGCAGTGCCTTCGACAGAACGCTCGGCAGAGGTGGGCCTTGGCGGTCATTTGGAAAGCGAAAGTGGACCGATGCGCAGGGCACTCGTAAGTAACCGTACATCTAGCGTAGTACGAGAAACCGCCGTGGGACCCCCAGGTAGCGCGCGTCTCGCGCGCGATGAGCGCAGCGTGCGCGAGGAACATAGCGCCGCAGACGTCCCCATCCTCAGTCGTGCAATTGCAACGTGAAGGAACAGCCCGCGGGGTCAAGGAACTCGAGAGAGAACTCGTTGAACCCAGGGTCCCGCCGCCAGGAATCGAGAGAGTTGCCGAAAATCGACGTTGTCGAGCTCGGCGCAGCCAGCCCGCCAAATCTTACGAGGCGCCGAAACATCAGCTGGCAAACATGCGAGAGACGTGCTCGTCATGGAAAAGGTCGCGCGCGCTCTCCCCCCAGACCAAAGGCCAGTCCTCGCTGCCAGTGGGCAGCGGATGGGAATAGACGCCCGAGACGAACCGAACAGCGAAGGCATTGCCACGATCCGTCAGCCGCCCCTGGACCAACGTTGCGAAGTCCTCGAAGCCGAACTGCCCAAACAAGAGAGCAGCGAACTGGCGGTGCTGGCCGGGCCAGCGGACGATGGCCAGATGCCAGCGTAACCTCTGGATCGGGAGCTCCGCGTCATTCGGCGCGATGCCCATCGACTTCCAGACGCGGCGGCCCTCCGAGGCTTAAGATGGGCCCCCGACCGATCGCGCATGGCACCTGCCGCTAGACGACGATGTCTTTAGCAGCGCAATATCTAAAAGGGCCTGTTGGGCCTCTGTGAGGAGATGCGGGTTGAGGCCAGACAGTGGCGCGCCCTGCGCAACGGGCACGAATGCCAATCTCCTCGCCTTGAACGGGGCCCCCGAAGGCCACGGAAACGAAAGCGAGAGCCAGCCGCGATCGGCCGCTCGTTTGCTCAAGTGCCGCCGGTGGGGGAACGCGCCAGGCGGCAAAAACCGGGGCCCGAGATTGCGCGTGCGGGGGGGCCACTCTCCGGCGCCTCCAACCTCGGCAGAATGCGATTGGCATTATAACCGCAGAGGCGAGGGGCCAGGACCTGCCTTTCAATGTTCTGGCGGGGGCCCAAGACAAACAACCGAGCCCCGATGGGGATCCCGAGAGTCCAAGGCGACCGAAGCGGCTTCCGCCAGGATGCCCGGGGGCCAAGGGTGAGGCCCGCTACTGAGGGAGCGCGCCCGGGGAGACCTGGGCCGCTGAGAGGCCGCCCTCATCCCAAGGAGGCCCGCGCGCGCCTGCGAATTCATCGACCGATGCATGGCGCCCGCGCGCTGCCGCGCCACTGCGACGCTTGGGGCCGAGCTCCGCGCCCGCGAGACGGAGAACCAATGCTGGGCCATGGCGAGGTCTCGGCGCCAGGCCTCGCGGAGGCCCTCGGTCCACGATCTAAGGCTGGCCCTTGCCCGCCATCGCGCCCCCCAGCAGATGCGGTTGGAGAGGTCGCAGATCCGGGAGTCGAAGAACGCGCGGGACTCGCCCAGGGGCCGAAGTCGAGCCCGCTGTCGGAGCAGGAGGCGATAGCCAGCGCGGAGCCCAGCCAGGGCGGCGCCAGGAACACGACGGGCACGGCCGAAATGCTTCTTGGCGATGGGCTGGGCGACCGACATGAGCGCGCGGTACCCGTCATCGACGCGGTCGGCCTCCAGGGGGCCTAGGAAGGTGGGCTCGTGCATCTTCGCGGCTCCGTTCAGCACGGGCAAGAAGCCCTCGCGCACACCAGGGGTCGCGTCGAAGTTCCAGGCCAGGGCGTCCGTGGAGTTCAGCAAGCTGGGGACGCCGACGCCGATCTCAAGAAGGAGGGGCGCGTGGTCCCACAGCGTGCCCTTGCCAAGGAAGAGCTGGAGGGCCCGCGCGGGTTTCGTCATCGTCGCCAGCTTGCTGATGCGCGGCGAAGCGTCCGGGGGCAGCTCGAAGTGCTCGATCCACGAGACGCTCTTCTCCCCGTAGAAGGACAGCGCGAGCTCGTGGAGCGTGGTGGCGCAGCCCAAGTAAAGGCGATGCATCAACTTACGGACGCAGTGGGCAGCGTACCCTATGCGCTCCTGCACGAGAGGGTCCACGCACCGAAACATGCCGGTAGAGCCGCCCACTGCGAACGAGTCGTTCAGGTCCGTGAAGATAAGCGGCGTCGACCTCGCGGGCGCGGCGTCAAGCTGCGCACCCAGCCACTCGATGAGAACGCCCACAGTGCGTTTCCAAATGGTATGCGTGCCACGGGGGCCAGGCGGCGGGAAAAAGAGCGAAGCACTCGTGAGGTCGAGCGAGCCCGAAGCGACGCGGGCGAGCCCCGCGCGGCCACGAGCGGCGGCAGGGCCAGGAACCACACGATGGAGACGGGCCGCCAGCTCGCGCCTCCGAGCGTTTGGTGACTGGGCCTCTACCGTAGCCGAAGTGTGCGTACTCATGGCCCGCAACGTTGGCCTGGCGCCGAACCTCCTCGGACGGCAGGGCGCGGAGCCTGGCGCCGATCAGCACATGGATGGGGAAGTGCCGGCCGAGCACTGCGATCTCTTCGAGCCGCCTCGGCTGCACACGTTGCACCCAATAATTTTGCAACGCGTGTGCCCTCGGAGAGCCCTGTTAACGTCAAACAGCAACGAACATCGGTGCAGGACCCTGCTCGGTCAGGAAGGTGTCGGCGTTCAACTTTCACCGGGTTGTGCCAGAAAGGGCCCACCTGGAGGCGTCTCGACACATAAAGGGGCTGGAGGAGGAAAAGAAGAAGGAGGAGGAGGATGATCCCTCCTCCCTTTCCTCCTCCTCCTCCCCATCACCTTCCCCTACCATCTTACCCAGTCGACGTCAGCGGAAACCTCCCAATGTGAAATCGAAACAAATGGGGTCGGCGGCTACCAGTGCACCGGCGATGCATCGGCGACGTCGCGACGGAAACGAGAGGGCTCCGGATCGCGGCAAAATCAAACCGACCCTGTGCCAGCCGCCACCGCCGCCCCCTCCGCCGCCGCCCCCGCCGCCTTCGCCGCTGCCCCACCCCCTTAGGGCCATCACGGTGGTCGGGCATTCGGCTCGGAGCCACGCGCCTACTGTTGCGCACGCAGTGTGCACGGCCGGATTGGAAGCGAGCACGCTGTGCGCCGGGGCCCTCAAAAGGCTGCAGGGGTAGCCCAGGATGCGCTTATCCCTAAGCGCGACCAAACCGACCCCTTCTGTGACGAGCCCGTCGCCCTAGAGGTTCCTCTCCGATAGCCTACCTGCGTCTCTGAACGAGGCGAGGAGGCGAGATGGTCGTCACAGAAGTGAGCAGTTTGCTAGGGGTCGCTTAGGCCGCCCCCGACCTCCTCCTTTTTCTTCCTGTCATGCGCAGACCGGGTCGGACGAAAGAGGGGTATCGAAGGAAGGGGCAAACGGAGGAAACAAAACCCGCTCCATGCAGCAAATTCTGCAACAACCACTTCCCAGCCCGACCCGAGACCGAAGGCATCTGTACATCACCACCGTGGCTGGCCAGGGCCATCCTTGGCATTGCTACACATCGCCAGCGTGCCTGGCCAGGCCAGCCTTGGCACTAGCAGTGTAAAATCTCGAGCGAGAGCCATTCTTATCCGCGGGGGGCAGAGCGCAGCTTGAGCCTCAATGCTTCCCCTGCTGCTTGTCCCGCGGGTGCGAGAGTCGGGGGGGGGCCTTCAGTTAAAACCTTCTCTTCCTCCTCCTCCTCCTCCTCCTCCTCCTCTCGTCATGGCGGAACCAACGTTGCTTATCATGCAGAAGTGTGCACTCCACAAAACGATCCTACCAGAAAAAAAACGTTGGACATCCAACGAGGGAGGACATGGGGGAGGAAGGAGGCAGGAGGAGGTATGGGGTAGAGGAAGGGTGGACGCGGGAAGAAGTGAGGGAGGGAGGACGACGAGATGGAGCACGGAATCGTCTCGAGGATACGCCGCACCCCTCGATCCATAGGATGGGGCGCCCCGCGCCTGGTGCTGCTGCAGTTGCTGGGCGTGCAGCTGCTGCTGCAGCTGCTGGTGGTGCAGTTGCTGCTGCCTCAGCTGCTGTTGCTGCATCATGGCCTGGCGGCCAGCGTTCCGCCGCTGCCGCCGCACGCCGAAGCTTGTCGGAGGGGCAAGACAATCGAGTCAGACGCAAAGGGGGGGGGTACAGCCACCGTGTTACCATACGTACAGCGTCCTTCGCCAGAACGTCGACATTCCCTGACGAATGAGCGTCTATCGTGTTCCTATCCCCGGACCCTGGTGGTCCTTCCGTCGTAGGTATCTTGTAGATGGATGGGCCATAAACGATGTCGCCCGACATCGCTGCAATGCTCCATGAAATGAATGAGGGACAATGTAAAACCACGCGCGCGGTAAGAGAGAGAGGCGCGGGTACCCCTTTCCTGTAAGACGCCCGCTGCGTCCTATCCTCAAAAGTGTCGTGTGCCAAACGCGTACAGCGGCACGCGTATATAAGTTCTACAGGGAGGCGGAGGAGATAAGGACTTACAAGGGGGCCCACAAACAGGAAAGCATGCCAACCCCCTTCAGTCATGATGTTTGCAACGCAGCGGGGTCTGGGTCTGCGCATGGAAAATAAACCTCTGGGCCCCTCTTGGGGTTCGTTCTGACTAGAACTTTGAGGGGCTGAAACCATGCCAAGCACTCGATCCGCCTCCTTCTCCTCCTCCTCCTCCTGTATTCGCCTGGTGCCGCTGCTGCTGCAGCATCTGCTGCTGCTGCTGCTTGCGCGTCAGGACCGGCGATGCGGCCGCAGCGGCGGCCACGGCGCTGGCCTGGGCCAGGGCCGCCGCCTGGCGCTTGCCGCCGTCGTCGTCGCGATCGTCGTCGTCGTCGTCGTCGCCGCCGTCGTCGCCGTCGTCGTCGTCTATGTCGTCGGACATGTCTTCGTCGTCGTCGTCTTCTTCGGCCGTCGTCGTCGTCGTCATCCTCGTCGTCCTCGTCATCCTCCTCGTCGTCGTCGCCCCCAGAAATTTTGGGGGCGTCTCCAGGGGCTCTCGCCTCCACGGCCGTGCACGACTCAGACCCCTGGCCAGGACGTACCCCAGGAAAGGTTTCGGGGCCGATTCCCAACAGACACTTGCGAATGCCACCAGGCTTGCACGCCCCAAGAGCCTGACCATACTATGATATCCCCAATCGGAAGATGGTGGGGCCTTCACCTTGGCCTCCTATCAGGGCGGGTGGCGCACCGGAACAACCCCCGCCACCGCCAAGGAGAAGGCTGTACAACGGCCACCACCGCCGCCGCAATCACCGTCGGTTACGTCGTCGACGTCAGACACCATCGCCTTCTGGCCAGGAAGCCTGGCGCGATGATGGCCTTTCGGTGACAGTCATGAACAAACCGACGAAAGGGCACCAGTGCGGGTGCCAGACCAAGCAGGTGGTAACCACATGTGTGGCCACATGTAAACCGGGGGCTCCACGACAATGTAATGACGACCGTCCGATGACTCCAAGCCCCTCAAATACTGCACCAACCTGCCAATCATCCGATCGGGTTGGGTGTTGTCGGAAAACCGCCGAACTCCCAAAACCGCCCGCTCACCCAAAGCCAACTCTGACTCACCCGACTGTGAGGTCACCTGACCGTCGTGGGACGTCCGAGAAGACCAATACAGGATGACGACACACGCAAATAGGAGGGGGGCGTCACGCAGCGGCGACCTGGACGATGATTGGGTTCCAGGCCTGCTCGTAGGCGTCTTCATCGAGATTCTGTGCTCGCCTTCTCCAACATCTTCAACCGCGGCAGAAAACTGTGATTTGCATCGCTCCCACCTATGCTCTTCTAGCTCGCCAGCCTACGCCGATTATCCCTGCAAGTTAGACTTCCGAATCGCCAGCGGGGGGGTCCATGCACCGATGTAAGCCTGCAGGCGCAGTGGCAAGGTTCGTAGACGGTCGCAGAAAGCTGCGACCGGAGGGAGGCCTTGCGAAAGGCACAACGGGAACTCACGCGAAATAACATCCAATCGTGGGGGACGCCACAACCGCCGAGGCCACGACGACGCACGTCGCCGGCCGCGCGCGGACGATGGAGGCTGCCAGTGGGGTCGGGGGATCGCACCGCAGTGCCGATGCATCGGCGGTGCGGTGCGGCGGCAGCTGCGCTGAGGAGGCCTGGAGGCGACGATCATCGAGAGCAGCGAGCGACGTCGGCAGAGTCGCCGACGACGTGGCGTCGCCACCGATGACGACGACGACGCCGCGACGACGACGTCGACTCAGCTCAGCTCAACTCAACAACCCAGGAAAGATGTCCACTTGTCGCTTCACTGCTGTGCAAACTCAGGCCTCGACTATGCGTCGAGCCCCAAAAACTTGAGTGACATGTGACGTGCTCTGAGTACGACGACGACGACGGCGACGACGACGACAATGACGCGCCGATCGACGGCGACAATCGAGCGCAGCGCGCCGTGTCTTTGCAGGACGGCGACAAACTGTACAACACCACCGACTCTGACCAGCCTAATGCTGGGCTCCCGAGCCCCCCCCTCCTCCGCAGGACGAGGGGGAGGAGGAGGACGAGGAAGACGGGGAGGAGGAGGACATGACAGGACATCCGCATAAGGGGTGCAACTTCAAAACACCTACGCTGGTGTCTTGCGCACTTCTGCCAAAATCCCCTGCGATTGATTGTGCAACAGCCCTGCCTTCTCGCTAGGGCCGGCAGGGGGCATACCTCGTTGCTCAAGGACTGAGCTCCGAGGTGGCCCAGGAGGAGGAGGAGGAGGAGGAGGAGGAGGAGGAGGAGGAGGACGAGGACGACGAGGACGAGGACGACGACGAAGACGCGAAGGCGTCTGGGGCTGAAGAGCACCGCTCCCCCCCAGGACGGCGTGCACGCCGTCCTGACCTACAGTCGAGCCCGAAAATACACTTTGCGAGCGGGGCGCGGCAGCGAAAGTGGCCAGGGACGGGCCGAGGAGGCAAGGATGCAGAGGTATTCTTGGGAAGGTTGCCCATCCTTACTACGCGGGTTGACTGTACAACACCACCGCTTCTGATCAGCCCGATCCTGGGCTCAGGACCGGCGTGCACGCAGTCCTGGCCCAGCCAGGACGGCGTGGGCCTGGCAGATCGGCCAAGAGCATGGGGCCGCATCCGATCGCTGGGAGATCGGAGCCGAATCGGATCGGGCCAGCCGAAACAGATGTGGTCGGACCAGAGTCAAGGGCGTCCAAAGGAGGGGGGACGTCCAGAGGAGGGGTGGCGCAAAACATGGCCGGCGGCATTTGCACGGCCCAGGGGGGGGGGGCAGGGGGCTCCAGGCGCAAAGGGGGCCTGGTGGTTTTTGTGCGTGTTGTTTTTAATAAGAAAACCTATGCGAGTCTCTCTCTACGACTCCTTCTCTCTCTCTCTCATTATTTTTCTCTATGTGTTTCCGTTTCTCTCTCTCTCTCTCTCCCTGTCTCTCTACATGTTTCCATTGTCCTGCGTCAAACCTGCGCCGATCCTTCTCCCACCTAGCCGAGAGCATTTGAAACCTTCACAACAGGAACCCTTTGGAAAGCACCACAAAGGGATTCCATGTGAAAGCCTCTCAACAGGAACCCTTTGAAAGGCACCACAAAGGAGTTCCATTGGAAAGCCTCTCAACAGGTCTTCATTTGGGAAGCGCTACAAAAGGATTCCATTTGAAAGCATCTCAACAGGATTCCTTTGGAAAGCACCACAGAGGGATTCGATTGGAACGCCTCACAATCGGAATCTGTTGGAAAGCGCCACAGAAGGATTCTATTGGAAAGCCTCTCAGCAGGATTCGTTTGGAAAGCCCCACAATGGTACCATTGGAAAGCCTCTCAACAGGATTCCTTTGGCAAGCCCCACAGAGGTACTCTATGGGAAAGCCTCACAATCGGATTACATTGGAAAGCTTCACAATCTGATTCCTTTGGGAAGCACCCCGAAGGGAGTCTGTTGGAAGGCCTCACAACAGGAACCCTTTGGAAAGCACCCCAAAGGGATTCTAGTGGAAAGCCTGACAGCAAGAACCCTTCGGAAAATGCTACAAAGGGTTTCAATTGGAAAGCGTCACAAAGGAAATCCTTTGGAAAACTACACAAAAGGGATTCCATGGGAAAGCCTCACAATTGGAATCTTTTGAAAAGCGCAACAAAGGGATTCCATTTGAAAGCCTCACATCAGGAACCCTTTGAAAAGCACCACAAAGGAGTTCCATTGGACAGCCTCTCAACAGGATTCCTTTGGAAAGCACAACAGAGGGATTCTATGGGAAAGCCTCGCATTCGGAATCCTACAGAAATCGCAACACAGCGATTCTACTGGAACGCCTCACAATCGGAATCCTTTGGAAAGCACAACAAAGGAGTTCCATTGGAAAGCCTCCCAACATGGTTTCTTTGGAAAGCGCAACAGAGGGATTCTATTGGAAAGCCGCAATCCAAACTGCTACCGTTGGGAGGATGGCGCTGGAACACAAATCCTCACAACAGGAACCCTTTGGAAACCATCACAACAGGAACCCTTTGGAAATCCTCACAACAGGAACCCTTTGGAAATCATCACAAAGGGATTCCATTGGAAAGCCTCCCAACAAGATTCCATTGGAAAGCACAACAGAGGGATCCAATTGGAAAGCCTCACAACAGGATTCCTTTTGGAAAGCACCCCAAAGGGATTCTCATGGAAGGCCTCTCAACAGGATTCCGTGGGAATGCATCACAGAGGGAGGGTTCAGCGCCGCAGGTACGAACCCCTCCCGCGACCTCCTCCCTGCGACTCCTCTCCATCCTCTTCCTCCTCCCCCTCCTCCCCCATCCCCCCCTTCTGAAGGAATGCAGCAACTTTGGGAAAACCATTGGAAAAAAACCAACAAAAACCAAAGAAACCTAAGTGCTGGAAACGAAAACTTTAGGAAACCCATTGGAAAAACCAAAAAAACAAAAAAAAAAAAACAAAAAAAAAAAAGATTCCACAGAGAGTGCGGGGATTCCCTTTGGACGTGTCCCTTCGGACGGGTGTTCCCCGCACTCTCTGTGGAATCTTTGTTTTTTTTGTTTTTTTTGTTTTTTCCAATGGGTTTCCTAAACTTTCCGTCTCCACCACTTAGGTTTCTTTGGTTTTTTTGGTTTTTCCAATGGTTTTCCCAAAGTTCTGGCATTCCTTCAGAAAAGGGGGAGAGGGGGAGGAGGCGGAGGAGGACGAGGAGGAGGAGGAGGAGGAGGAAGAGGAGGATGATCGGGAACAGGATGAGGAGGAAGACAGAGAAGGATGAGGAGGAAGAGGAATGCGCTACGAACGAAAACACACAGAAGAGAGAGCGAGAGAGAGAGAGAGAGAGACGCATGAAACCCTCGGAGGGCCGAAAGCCCGCCGAATCATCCAGTCTGGAGCTGAAAAAGATCACGCTTAAAAACCACCAGGCCCCCTTTGCGCCTGAAGCCCAGGGGACGCACGGCAATCAGAAGAGGCGCCATGACATCTGGGCAGATACCATGGCCCCCACCATGATATCCACCCCCCCCTAGGCATCACCCCCCTCTTTGCCGACCCCGACAGAGTGTGCCCTGCCTGGCCCGCACCGGTGCATAATGCATGGCTGCCATAGCCCGAAACTGGCGCGAGCGCCTGCTGCGTCTGCTGCGGGCGCCGGCCCACGGCGGAGGCGGCGGCCGCGGTCGCGGCGGAGGCGCCGGCAGTGCCGGCGGCGTCCGCGTGCTCGCGCGTCCACTGACGGGCCTTCGCGCGGCGGCGGCGGCGACAACAATCGAGAGCCGACGACGACGACCGACAACGACGACATCGAGGCTCTGGGTCGTTTCTGGCCCTTGCCGGGACTCCGCGCGGCGGCGGCGACGACGGCGAGAGTCGGGGGTCGAAGTTTGTGGGTCGTTTGTGGTTCACCTCTCGGACTTCCGCACGGCGGCGGCGGTGACGACGACGAGCATCGGATGTTGGCTGGTCCAAAGGAGGGACGTACAGGTGGGGCAGGGCCAGAGCTGGGATTTGGAGGGGAATCGCTCTAAACGACTCCCGGAAGAAGGAAGTGTAAGCATCCCGCTGGGTTTGTTCCCCACCTTGGGATAACCCCCCCTCTACGAACCCCCGAGCCCAAGTTCGGCCTCTGTAGGGGTCTGGCGAGGCGGCGACGGAGGCGGCTCGACGCGGCCGCCGCGCAGAGGAGGGCCCCGAGGGCCCGCGCGTTCCGACGTCGCGACGGGGAAAAACGCCGCCGCGATGTGATTCGAAGGTCTCGGCGTCCCAGCAAGCCCCAGGCATCCAACGCCGAGGGCAACATGCCAGAAGGGTTGTGATCCCCGTTGTTTGGTTCCTGGGGGCCGCTCGGGGCTGCGGGACCGTCAAGCAACGATCCGGGATGAAAAGACGGCCCGGGGGACACGGTCAGAACCTCCAGGTAGTTACACTCGGGCTGCTTAAATCAGGAACGCTGAATACAGAACGACGCCCATCTTTGACTCCAAAAGCCTGGGTACACGAGGAGGCCTAGAGGAACAACCGCGGAGGGACCTTCGGAACAGCGAGCCCGTTCCGCACCCAAAGCGGTCCTCATTTCAGCATCTGAGTGCACCCCGTGCTCATTCGGAACAAAGACATCGGATCTTTCAGGCCGCGCTGTCACGTTCCGCGGGACTACCAGAGTTGCCCGCGGTGACGCACGTGTTCCAGAACTGTGGTGTCGAGATCTCCGCGGTCCACTTTACGGTGCCGTAGGGCGAGCATGACGCCGTCGCTGCGGAAATTACCGTCGCATGGCGTCGATGAAGCATCCGTCGTTATCACCATAGGCATGGGACACATCGTGACGCCATCGTCGCCATCTTTTCCAACATCGTGGCCGTCGCCATCGACGTCACCGTCGGAAGGCGACGACGCGCACTTCGTCGTCGTAACGTCGACATGATACTGTGGGAATTGTTGAACCATGCCCGCGCGCTTGATGCGACGAACACCCTTTGCAAACCGGCTTTTCCGAACTTTCCGAGCCCAAGCGCTGCACTTGAAGCCACTGACAGCGTACCGTTCTCCAAAAGACTTTGCTGGATACGCTGCCCAGCCACCATACATGCTAGATGTTGCCGCGCCTACCTTCATGACCATCTGGGATACCCCAATAAGACATATTTGATCAAACCCATGTTTCTGATTCACGCTGGGCCGAGTCGCAAACACTCATCGAAGCCATCGTCCCCCTCACTTGGAATCGAAATGAACTCACACATTGTCGAACTCTGGCACTTGTTCATTGTGGCGCAGGGCGTCAGCTGCACACCCTTCCAGCAACCACGTCGCATGGAACCTGCCGATATCGGTCAACACACTCCGCCTGTAATGTTAGCTCGTCTCGTCACGGCGAACGAGTTAGATCGTCTCGTCGTGTATTGACAAGGAAGCCCATGCCAAGCTGGATGTCGGAACAATTCGTATGAGACATGTCGTCGGTGTAGAGGAACATCACTATCGTTTCCTTCCCCTCCGTCCACCCCTCCCCAAACTAAGCAAAGGGATGAGGGATGAGGGAAGACGGACACAAAGGAGGGAGGGATTGTTAGCAAGGCCTCTACTGGCGGACCGTCTTGCTTCGCCAATCGAAGTACACCTGACCCGAGCGACGACACACGCGAGAGAGCCACCGCCTGAGGGGCAGGGATGAACTGGAGTCCGAGGACTCCGCGCGGTTTCCGCGAGCAGCCTGCACCAAAGGGACCTCGTCGTCCTCTTGGCGGAGCGCGTCTCGCACTACGCTGAGCTGCTCACTGGCTTCGCCCCCTCCTCACTGGGAGAGGGCGGAGCCTTTGCCGCTTGCCCTGGCGCTGCTTCGGGCGCCTCAAAATGTGCTGGGGAGACCTCGATGGCAACATTGTCCCCTTCCGGATGTGTCCCCTTCGGCACACGGTATTTCGAACGATCGAGGTTGTTGCGAATCCAGGGGCGGCGCTCCGTGGTCAGTAAGGCCAGTGGGCCGAGCGTCGAGATCGCTTTGCATCTGACGCAAATGAAATGGATCGATATGCCGCTGCAGTCGAAAGCTAAGAGACGATGGCCTCTCGCGCCCTCTTGCTGGAACGACTCTCGCACCGCTCCAGGCAACCCAACGTCGGTGGTTGGTCGTTTTCTCCGCAAACAAATTCTTTCAAAAGGCGGCGTACCGTCAGAAGTGCATCAGTGCTACACCATTCCCGCTGGTGGTGGTCGGGAGGGGCCGAGGTCTTGGGCTCGGGCTTTCAACGGGTCCTTGGGCAACCTTGGAGGTCCAAAGCAGGCCACTGGGGTAAGGGCGGGCCGCCAGACAGCACGCAACCTAATACAAGCTGGATCTTTCGGCCTACCTGCGGCAGATCGTGAATCGAACCCGTCGAATATGCTGCCAACCCCGCCCGAACAACTCTACCAACTGGTTACCGTGTTTTTGTGTTCCAGCGCTGCTGCTGTGTTGAATCAGGGCGGTCAGCCACGTGCGCTTTGACCTTCCTGAGAACGGACGGGTCGCCCGAATGCGCGATCATGATCGTGCCAACGTGCATCTTCGTGTACGGAAAAAGAGCACCAGGACCCAACGCGAACGTGCTGACAACATTCGCGCACTCCGAACAACCTGCAGACGTGCCTCGGATATTCCTGGCCACCATGGCAAGGGCTTCAATGAAGGGGCCCTGGGACACACAAATAAATAGACACAAATAACAGGATTCGCCGGCCCAACGGGCCAGGGCGTGCTGAGATCTCCGGTACCTGGTTAACAATATTTCTAGTTCGCGCGCGCGGGGCGGCCCCTGGGGGTCCCCGGGCGAAAAGTACCCCGGCAAGGTCCCGGCAAGTCCCCGGCCCCGGCAAGGTCGGGTCAGAGATGCCGGAGTTCTGTTTCGGAGTCCAAGAGGGCTCCAGATCGGTCCAAGAGGGCCCCGAGAAGCTTTCTAGACGGTCCAAGAGAGGCCCGAGACGGCCAAAGATCGCCCGAAGACGCCCCAGATGGCCCCAAGACAGCCCAAGAGGCCTCCAAGACGCTCCAAGGGCCTTCCAAGAGGCCTCCGAAGAGGGCCCCAAGTTGCCAAAATCGTTGATTTTCATTGTTTTTTCGATGTTTTTTTGCGTTCTGGCCTTTTCGCTTCCGGACGCTCCAAGAGGGCCCAAGAGGCCTTCAAGACTGCTCCAAGACGGCCCACGAGGCTCCCAAGACGGCCCCGGAGCGGCCCAAGAGCGCCCCCCAGACGGCCCAAGTGCTGCCCAAGGCGGACCAAGAGGCCCCAAGACGGGCCCAAGAGGGGCTCAAGAAGGGAACCGAGAACTGAAAAATCGAGCCCTCCGCCCCAGAAGGCGCCCAGGACCCCGAAAGAGGCCCCAAGAGACTCTCCAAGACACCCCCAAGACGCCCCAATAAGCTCCCGTGAGGCCCCAAGAGGACCAACAACGTCAGGCCCCAGGCCCCAAGAGGACCAACAAATACCGCCAAGAGCCCGCCGAAAGCCCCCCAAGAGACCGTCACGAGAGCTCAGGAGGCCCCCTGGAGGCCTCCCGAGTTCTCCAAGAGGCCTAAAAAGAGGCGCCAAGAGGCCCCAAACGGCCCCACCGAGGCTCCAAGAGGCCACGAACGCGCAAACAAACGCCTGCGATGGCACAATACGGGCCGGCTGAATGAGCGAAGCGATTAAATAAATAGACACAAATAACAGGATTCCTAATATGTTCCCATGTTCTTCATGGGTTGTTGTCTTCCCCCCTACTTCCCAGTAGTTTCCCATATTTTCTGGGGAATCGACGATTAATTGTGTCTGTGTATTTCTTCCCTCCTGATTCAAACTCCGCCGCCTGAGCGCTTGCGGCAGTTGGGGCCCCACTGGGCCCACATGCCGAGCAGGTCTCCCGAGCCTCCTGCCCTACAATCGGGCCCGATTGGAGAGGACACGCGAGAGAACACAAGACCCTTCTGAGGGCTACACTGCCACAAGAACGTAACAGGCACGGGTCTCTAAAGACAGGACACAGGGGTACCCTCGACTTGGCAAGGTCGACCTGCTGATCAAGGCCGACTGTACAAAGCTCTTTGATAGGGTGTCTCGTGCATGGCCCACCCGTGCAAACGTTCCCTTCATCTACCTGGCCAAGCTCGACATCCTCCTCCTCCTCCTCGTGACCTTCGCACATGAAGACGTTGATGCCTCCCTGCTGCCGTGCCCCAGGGAGCTGGTCCCCAGGATGTTCAAAGAGCTCCATATTGGAGGAAGAAGGGAAGAGGGATGAAGGGAAGAGGAGCTCAAGGGTGGAGGCGTGGCGGGGCTACCCACCCCGCTCCCTCCCCTATCGTTACTCCTCGTCGCCATCCTTCATCCCTGGACCACTCCCCTGGACACCCTACGAACAACTCCCCAGAACCTCCCTACCTTGAGCCCCACAGTGGAGCCAATTCAAAACCCCCACCCGAGGCAGGGGGGAGCGAGGACGGGGAGCAAGGGGAAGCGGAAGAATGTTATGTTGCATCCTCGGGTGACCTTGTCTGTCCCGCCGCGGCCCTATCCGCGTCGAATCCGTGTCGAACCCATGTCGGACTCGTCGGGTCCATGCCGAATCCGTGTCGAATCCGCGCCAAATCCGCGTCGCGTCCGCAACGAGCGCGCGTCGAGCGCGCGTCGGGCACAAGAGAAGACACAGATGTTTGGGACAGGCGAGGTTCCTCTGAGATGCAACGTAAGGAATGGAGTAGGGGGAGAAAAAGGGGGAGGGTCGGGTCGGGCGAAAGGGGGGGATAGCAAAGGGGGGGGTTGAGAATCAGCTCACGTAACTGATTTTCCTGGCGCCTCCCGGCGCCGGAGGCGACCATGTATCGAGGTATGGGCCCCTCGGTGGGGCCGAAACCAACTGCATGCATCAAATTTCGTACCCCCCCTTTCCCAATCCCCCCCTTTCGTCCGGCCCGACATAAGGACACACCAGTACCGTGTCTCCTCCTCGGAGGCGTGCGCCCAACCATCTCAGATCGTGCCACAAGCAGCTTGTGATGCATCGTTTCCCGAGCAGTATGGCCAGACAGCGCCCGCCACGGAGCACACACATAAGTATATATATATATATATATACCCACATACATACACACATACATGCATACATCCATCAATCCATCCATACATACATGCATACATGCATGCATACATGCATGCATACATACATATGTACATACATACATACACACATACACATACACACATACATACGTTTTTTTCGGCGCGCACGTCGCCCCATTTGGGGGCGACGCGCACGTAGCATGAGTATGGTGAGGTGGCACCAAGGAGGAGGGGAGAAGGGGTGAGAGATGGAGGGAACGCAGACCTCCGACGCCGTGTTTGTGTGTGTGTGTGCACAGCGTGGACCCCCGAGGTGCGGACCACTTCCCCAGGGCCTGGCCTTCATGCCTTGTCGT